AATGATTTTTTACAATAATTATTACGAATGGTTTGCACTTGAATTTGTCATCTTTGATTGCAGAAATATCATCCTGAGTCATTCGTTGTATAAAAAAAAACACGACATCTGTACCAGGTTCACTGATTATTTGAAGTATTTCATCATCAAAATATAGAATCAAACAATTAAAGGTAAACATTTTGAAAACTGCTCACAGAGAAACAACAAACACAACAGCAAATTAAAAAGTTGAATTAACATGTTTAACAAAATGATGTCTATTTACAAATGTTCAAACATGATAAATTACAAACATATATGCAAAAACAAGTGTTTTATTGAGAGGCAACAGTATTCAACCGATGTTCAAATAGCCAAATTATGTACAGAGAATGCAAATAAAAATAAAACGTGAAATCAAAACCTGAGGGAATCGTTTGAACTCAAAAAGGAGCGAGACAGGATTCGCTGATAAGATACACATGTCTTATAATGCATTTTGCACATGCCTGTTCGAATCACATCGTTGATAATGTCTAGATATTGAATAGGACAATCGGTTGGAAAAATCACTTTTTACGATACCTAAAGAACTTAAACTGCGAAACATTATCGCTAGTGTGTGAAAACTGATACCCACCATATCGGTTAACTAATTTTCTGGCTGACCGAACACTTTATAGAGATTCAATTTCCGTCATTCTCCCTTATACTTTTGATGGAACATTTTTTTGTGTCAATAGCATATTAACGAAGTCAAACGAGAAATGCAATGAAAATTCAAAGATTGAAAATCGTCCGAGGTCATTGTTATTAACTCGTTTTCACTTAAGCATCTAACCCCGCCGCATGTCCCAAGTCAGGACCCTCTGGCCTTTGTTAGTCTTGTATGATTTTTAATTTTAGTACATTCATATACTTCGGAGTTTAGTATGACGTCCATTATCACTGAACAAGTACACATTTTTGTTAAGGGGCCAGCTGGAGCACGCCTCCGGGTTCGGGATTTTTCTCGCTGTATTGAAAACCCATTGATGACCTTCGGCTGTTTTCTGCTCTTTGGTCGGGTTGTTGTGTCTTTGACACATTCCCCATTTCCGTTCTCAATTTTGCCTATCATATTATGTGTTCAGGAATTGTTGACTTTTTTCTACGGAATTCACGGATAAATATGAATAAAGAGCAACTATCAGAAGCACTAGAGTGTTATTATTCATCTTCCAAACTGTTTTTGCAGTAGAGTTTATTATGCTTTTTGTTCCACTATTTTTAGGTCCCTGTTCACTTGTTGAAAACTGATCACACTTGTGAAAACTCATAAAATCTTTAAGAACATTACAATTTAATTAATCATGTTAATGTTTTGCACTTATTTCTTTGATGTTATATCTTTTACGACTGCTATTAGTAAAACAAAGTAACTGTGAAAAGCATATTGATTTCTGACTTCAACCATACATTTTTTTCAGAATTTTGAGAAGCACAAACAGAAAGTGATGACAGTCATTCAAGATATATTTGAATCACACGCAGGGCTCAAACATCTTGAATTCAAACCACTGATTTTTGTCAATGCTATGAACGAAGCGGATCCAGAGATCCAAGCATTACGTCAACGTCTGATGGATAGAGCTAAAGAGCATCCTCGGTGGGGTGAACAAATGCCAACAGCATGGGTCCCATTAGAACTACATCTAGCAAAACAAGTAGAGAAAGGTGTCAACATATTGACAATGGAACAACTACAGATGTTTAATTCTCAAAATCAGTCAATGGTATTGACAGATAATCAGTTGGAAACTTTCCTTAAAGTACAACATTCACTCGGTAAATTGCTCTACTTTGACGTAGCCAATCTTCGAGATTTTATAATCATAGCACCAGCATATTTGGTGGAGGTTCTAAGATCTATTGTCACAGAGAAGCAATTTTGGCCAAAAGGGAAACAATTACAAAGTATTTTCCATACCATGGAGAAAACAGGAGCACTCAGTCGCGACGATATTGATGTCCTTTGGAAACAACAGATGTTTGAGCATATTCTTTCATATAAAGATTTCATTATTGAAGTATTGGTTCATCTTGATGTATTAGTTGCTGAAAGAATGACAACAAACGATTTAAGCACGTCACCTCATAAAGTTTTGAAATTTATTGTTCCATCAATGATTACAAGGCCAAACAACACGAATTACCTGAGAACAAATTGCAAGATTGAAACTTCAATTTTGCTGTCGTACAAGTTCACTGAGAAAGTAATACCACCAGCCTTTCCATATCGATTGATTGCTTCTTTTGTAGACATGTGGGGAGTGAAAAAGTATAAAAACAAGAAGCGAATGCTTTTCAGCGATTTAGCAGTTGTGGAAGTAGACGATAAGCATGATGTGGCAGTGCAGGTTATAGAAAATAGAGTGATTGTGTCACTTATCCATGCAGAAACGAAAGAGCACATTGTCCCAACAATTGCAACTTCTGTTCAAGAATGTCTGACTGCAGCTATTCACAGAATTTCAGAATTTTACTCAACTCTTTCAGCAGACTCATCTACCACAGATAAAAGATCGGAGTTACATATGGTCATGCCATTTGAAATTGAGTTTGGAGTTCATTGCAAAAAAAACTTATGTTTTTTTCTTCATAACAAAATACCAACAGCAACAAAATGGCGATGTTCAGAACACAAAGTATATCACGATGTCAGTTGTTTAAAATTATGTTTTTCAGAAAAGGTAAGATAACAATTTTGCTTTTTCCCTTTGCTAGTGTTTGTGAGATGTTCAATTTATTTCGTAAAAATAACGTTGATGCCAATACAAAGAACTTGTTATCAGTTCAACGTCATCATCTCCCTAATTACAAATATATTTTTTTAATTTTCATGAAGTTTTTTATAAATATAAACTCTGTACATTTCAATCTGACATTTCTCAGTGCTTTCGTTGTGTTTCGTACGTCCTGAGTACGTTTTCCGTCAGTTATGATTCATTCAACATAATCGCGTTCATAATTCATCGTTCTTAGGATCTGCTCACCCTTTCGGAGCACCTGACATCACCCCAAGTGCTTTAAATATTAAAATTTAACTGTCTCGAGTGGAGAAATATCGTGACACACTTGTTGCACTGTTGGAATCTATATTTATACTATGAGATAACAATTGGTAATTCCAAGATAAAATTGACATTTAGAAAAAAGGAAATTAAACTGACAGATGAATAAGAGTCAGGTACACATTTAGAATGTTATTAACAAAAAAAAAAAACTTTCTTGATTTTTTTTTGAGTTTCACACTATTGAACGTTTGTTTGGTCCTTCTCCTTCAATAAATAACAACTGTTAGTAATATCTGAATATCAAAATGTCTTCCTCTTTTTATTGCTAATGTTATTTATCACTAATTCTTAGTTTGGTGATCTTGTTGCTCTATATAAATGTTAGTGTAATTATGAATGGTCATCCTCCTTAAATGAATTACAACATTTTGTTATATCTGGAATATTGAAATGTCTTCTTCCTTCTATTGGTAAGGTGTGGTATCACTAATTCTTAGTTTGGTGATCTTGTTGCTATATATAAACTTTTCATTTCGATTAACATAATATTTAAATTATTTACTCCTCTTTCTACTTTTTCAAATATTTTTTATTCATGCAGCAGTAACATGAACTATACTAAGTTCAAATTACAGATATGTCCTTTACTCATAATTTGCTGGTGAAAATTGGTGTATGAAACTCCGTAGATGTTTTGTTTGCATATATAGAAAATTTAGTGTGTTCGTGGATATTTCATTTCGTGGTTTTACCAAGGTCTGTTTACAATTCTATGAAAAATTTGTAATTCGTTAAATATATAAATTCAAGATTTAAAATAACCACGAAATACACGAAAAATAGTATACCACGAAAAATAAAAAATCCACAGTACATCTATGAAGTACTTTACACTCACGATTGTTTATCAAAGATACTAAATAAGTAGTTATGCGGAAATTATACTGCAAATAAGGCACTATTAATAACTCAATTCTATATTGATAGTCTTGTAATTGTTATAAAATACATCAAATAACATAATTAGAAACCTAATCTTTATTTACATCCATTTTTTTGAAATTTACCTGTGACGTTACTTTTTGTTGCGTTGATGCATTCGTGTGACAGACACACAGTTCGTAATCTTATTAAACTGTTTTGTGTACTGTCCTAAATTAATTTAGTTATTCGTGTGTTATTTTGTGGTAAACATGTCGAAATGTACTATTATATTATTTATTTATGTATTTCTCTGCATTTATTTGTACTATATTCCCGTCATGTAATGTTGTCATTTTAGCGGCATATGTAACATTGCCATAAAGCGCGGAGGTTTGGCTAGCCACAAAACCAGGTTCAACCCTCCATTTTTTCTTTTTAAAAAAGTCCTGTACCAAGTCAGGAATATGGCAGTTGTTATCTAATAGTTCGTTTCTATGTATGTTGCATTTTCGTTTGTTTTTTTGTTGCACTTCGGTGGTCTGTTGTTTCGTTGTTTCCTCTTATAGTTGATGAGTTTCCCTTGATTTTAGTTTGTAACCCGGATTTGTTTTCTCTCAATCGATTTCTGACTTTGGAATAGCGGTATACTACGGTTTCTTTTATTTATATCCGATTTGACAATCTTTGATTTCAAAGGAATAAATCGAGTTTCTGATTATTTTACCGATACTTTGTATTGAATGTTACGTTACTAACATCTATTATTTCTTATCTCTCGTATGAAAAAAACCGTCCAGATACATAAACATGTTTTTGAATTTATCAAAAAGTCTGAGATATTTCATGTCATATGATACTGAATGATGTATTTGCGTTACATGAACATCATCTTCATTCCACATTGTTCAGTTATTAAGTCTGTCATACTATTCAATAACTTGACTGGTAAAGTATTGTATATACTGAAATATCGCTTGCTCATTTTACCATTGTATTGTTTTTTGTATTGACTGTATGCATGCTTTCTCTTGTAGCTGCCTCGTGAAAAATGTGACGCATCTTGCAATGGTTTGTATGAGTTAGAAACCAACTTTAGATGCCGCTAAAATGCCTGTAACATGGTCAACTGTCAAAATACCTAGATATTTGTATTCATTGATAGATTGCTTACAAACTGTGTGACTCTCTTTCGCAAGTGAATAAGTACAGTACAATATTAATTGTACAGCAGTAATAATCCGATATCCCAATATTAATCTAATAAGAAGATTTGGTATGATTGCAAATGAAAGAAATCTCAAGCAGAAACCAAATGACCTAGGCATTATAAACTATTGGTCAGCGTACGGCCTTCAACAAAACCAAAACCGAATATTAAGCTATAAAACACCGAATTGTCAAATGCTAATCATTCAAACGACACAAAACATGGCCTGATATGATCTTGATTTACCCGTCCTCTTCAAATATTTGTATCTTATAAATTCGAACTTCAACAAAAGGCTGCACGAATCAATATAAAAATTATTTACTGTTAATTCTTTTAACACACTATATGTGTGCTTCTATCGACAAAACCCCAGAACATTACTTCTTCGGTGTATTTGATATTCGGAGCAGCGTTGCTTTTGATATATTCATGTTCTTATAACTTGTTTAACCTGACCTGTCCATGTATTTGTTTAGATAAAATCGTTATGTATTAATATATAACATTTCCCAATCTGTAAATTAACTATAGATACAAAAAATCTCAAAAACCTGGCATCAATTTAATGTTCGGAAAAGAACAATGTTGTTTCATAATGAAATACACAATAAACATTGACGAGTTTCCTGACTTGGCTTGCACAAGGCACGTACCTCTTTCTATCTTTTATTTCTTCTTCAATAGGACTAGCATATCATGCGATATTAAAAGTTTTAAAAAACTTAATGTTTTTTTAATATATTAAACATCAAATAAGTAGTACAATGTGGTGTGATATTGTGTTGCGAGGTGAAATAAGTGTTTGCGAGATTGTTATATAAATTGGTGGCTTTACAAAAGTTGATAAACAAAACATACAATACACATTGATGCACACAAATTACTAAGGACAACGTTATTGTAATTTAAACAATTAACAATATCATTAAATACAGGTGAACGTGTTTTCCAACAAACAAACACATATTGGATTTTCTAATTAATGTCATTTACACTGGGTGTAAAACTATATTCTACTTTGAAGTCAAACATGGTATTTGCCTGATAATTTTCTACATAGGTTCGTTGTTTTCAACAAAACAATTAAATCGTGACGCTCTTAATCTATATACATTCTGAAATATTTAGTAACTGTACACTTATATTTGAAATACCTAAGCTATCTGACGAACATGATTTACAATAGTAAAAAAGAATATAAATTATCTCTTAGATGGAAACTGAAAAAAACAATTGTTACTGTAAAATCATCGTCTATAAATCTATATATCCTTAGTACATTGATGAGTATGTTTTAACGGGGGGAAATGGGTCTAGCTAATAATAATATACCCCGAGTTCAAACACTATGGCTTTTCCATACATGCGCATGATGTTTGATGTTTGATGAAAGTAAGATATGTGGTCACTTTAAATTAGAACTCTCACAACTTGTAATCGCATTGATATTTTAATTCGCTGCTTATAAAACTTTGACATATTAGGGATGTTTTACCTCAGAAATAGATTACCAGTTTGTTGGTCAACAATTGTCTTCAACTACATTTAGACATTTACCTTGTTTGATTCGAGCGTCACTGACGAGTCTGTTCTAGACGAAAAGGGCGTCTGGCGTACGTAGTTATAAGCCTGGTATATCAAATAACTTTGTTTTTTCGCACTGTATGAATCATTGTATTTATTAACCTTCAGTCCCATCTTTAATTTATCATTCGAATTTTGAAGAATCCGATATATTAGATGAGAAGCAACAGTGGTATAATGGTGTCCAAATGAAAAATTCCTTAATATGATAACACTAACAAAAATAGGAAAAACACAGGCTTACATACAATAAAACCGAGGCAATCTAAAGAATTCCAAAAGGAAGGGCGAAAGGATGCCTTAAGAAGCTTGCAATCCCTGAGTAGGTATCGCTTATTACAAAATAAAAAAGAAAAAGAAACTAGAATCTTTATTCTTGGTTTAACTTTCATTTCAGATTTTATTTTATTTTTTTACAAGTAGCGATCTTTAAAAAAAAAACAGGAATGTTATGTTTGACTTGAATATTGTAAATTCACTATGCATTAAGTATAAATTGTCTCATGTATTGTTATGTTTATGTTTGTCAATAGGGTTAGGCAGACTTGAAAAGGAACAATCTCCATCGAACAAACACCTAAGGAGACTTGCTTCTAGTCTTGAAGTTAAAGAATGTCGAGAATTATTGATAAGACTTGGATTAGACACAAACGTTTTGAATGATTTACAGGAAAAATTTGCTCCCTCTGCTTTTCATGTAAATGATTTCAAATACACAGCCATGTCAATATGGAAGACAAGCGTGACTGATTCGTCCTTCAAGACCATTGAAGATGAGTTTGGTGAAATAGACAAACACTTACTTTGTGAGGTATGAATAAGCATAAGCTGCCTTTCGTATCACCAATTTTATAGTTAGTTACAGACTATTAAAGCATAACACAAACTAAAAGTCCAGTTCACACAGTGTGCACATCGTAAACAGCTATTTAGAGATGTAGTATGAGAGCAAACGCGAAAACTATCAGATAAAGGTCAAAAGATTAGAATGTGAACAAGTGCATTTTACATTATCGCCCTCAACAATGACCAAAACTCAAACACCATAGTAATCTTTTAAACGCACAGACTTGATAAGATGTTAAACAATCAATAGCCAATAGCTAGAAACCTAACAGATTGGTGTTTACTGAATATTTACACAATATCAATGATGGCTGAAAGTTGACTACTACAACCAATTGATTACAAATCCAGGTTGGAACAGTCACACAAGAAAAATGTGGCGAGTAACACTATATTTGTGAGCTCTTAACATTCCCCTCAGCCTAAAACATAAGTGTAACAGCTTAATGTACGAACAAACAGTTTGTGAGTTCTCAATATTCCACTCAACCTCAAACACTTATGTACCAACATAATTTCAGAAACAACCGTTTGTGAGTTCTCGACATACCACTCAAACTTAAACATTGATGTAACAATCCAATGTAAGAACAATTAGTTTTGTGAGTTTGCAGCATTTTACTCAACCTCAAACAGTGGTGTTACAACACAAATTCATAAACAACAGTTCGTGAGTTCTCAACATTCCGCTCAATCTCAAACATCGGTGTGACAACACAATGTAAAAAACAGCATGTAATAAGTTATCATCATTCCACTCAAACTTAAACCGTGATATAACAACAAAATGTAAGAACAATCAGTTCGAGAGTTCTCAACATTCCACTCAATCTTAAACCATGATTTAACAACACAATGTAAGAACAATCCGTTCGATTCATTGATGTTCCTTCTCAGCACACACACAACTAATAACAATACAGTATTTGCTAAAGGCTTATTCAAAGCCAATTATTACCTAATAAATTCACGGTATTGCCAACACTTATTCCTAGCCTTAGTTTCAGACAACAGTAGTTTATCCATGTTCAAATTTCAATAATCCGACAAGGACAAGTAAATACAACACAATCTCGTTGACTCATAAAAGAACTAAACCAAGAGTGTCAACATGTGAAGTGTCTCCTGGTATGCCGTGCATCAACCGCTATACCAATCATCACTCAGTTAAAGTGAAACAGTCAATTAATTCAATATGTTTGTTCTTCACTAATAAATTTGCCTTATCTAAAGTTACGATTGATACACCGCTACCATATATAGTGTCAAGTCGCTAGTAGCAGTCTTAGAACAGCATAATATTCTTGAATGCCAAAATATTAGTATAGACAGGACTAAGTCCTTAAGTGTTATGCACAGGATAGCGAATAGAAATGCTTACTAATGGATTTGACGCGTTCGAAACAATGTTTTATAAGGAATGGTCAATACCGGACACTTTAAAAGCCAAGAATGTGTACATCCGGAATACCAATGACTGACGGGTATCCAAATTTCATTTAAGTCAACTGCACCTGATAGAATCTTATTTCATTATACTCTATAAACTGCTCAACGGATATTTTCAGAATAATATGGTCTAGGGCATGTCAGTACCGAAACACGGACTTACTAGTTGAAAGTGAAAATATCACTTTATATCAGATGTGGATACTAAAAAATTCCAAAGATCTTTTAGAGTATATACAATCTAAGACTCTCTCATCTTGCAATAGTATTAAAACATTTGACTTTTCTACACTTTACACAAGTATTCCCCATTTCAAACTAAAAGACAAACTGAAAGAGTTGGTATTGCTTTGTTTCATAAAAAAAAATGACGAACGTAGATACAAGTATCTTGTCTTGGGGAGGGATAAATCCTACTTTGTAAAGAATCACTCTGATTCAAACAAAAACTTCTCTGAAACTGACATTATCAAGATGCTTGATTTCTTGATTGACAACATATTTGTTACGTTTGGAGGACGTGTTTTTCAACAGACTGTCGGAATTCCAATGGGAAACAATTGAGCCCCTCTTCTTGCCGACTTGTTTCTTTATTATTATGGGGCTGACTACATACGGGAACTTCTTAGGAAGAAAGATAAGAAGTTAGCATTATCCTTTAACTTTACTTTCCATTATATAGATGATGTTCTCTCACTAAATAATTCAAAATTTGGTGACTATGTTGAACTATCTATCCCATCAAACTAGAGATAAAGGATACAACCGATACAGTTAAGTCTGCCTCATATCTTGACTTTAATCTAGAAATTGACAATGAGGGTCGGTTGAAAACAAAACTTTACGACAAACGAGATGATTTCAGCTTCCCAATTGTGAACTTTCCATTTCTATGTAGCAACATTCCAGCAGCGCCTGCATACGGAGTATATATCTCCCAATTGATACGATATTCCCGGGCTTGTATTTCCTATCATGATTTCCTTGATAGAGGGTTGCTGTTCACAAGGACGCTATTAAACCAAGAGTTCCAAATGGTGAGGTTGAAATCATCCCTTCGTAAATTTTACGGACGCCATCACGAGTTGGTTGACCGTTATGGAATAACCGTTTCGCAGATGATATCGGATATGTTCCTTATGTCGTAACTACAATCCAATTCCCTTTTCACCACGAATGTGACCTACCGAATTAGACTATTTACCGGGTTTGTAATAATATAAGCAACACGACGGGTGCCACATGTGGAACAGGATCTGCCTACCCTTCCGGAGCACCTGAGATTACCCCCAGTTTTTGGTGGGGTTCGGGCTGCTTAGTCTTTTTTTTTCTATGTTTTGTCTTTTGTACTATTATTTGTCTCTTTGTCTTATTTTTTAGCCATGGCGTTGCCAGTTTGTTTTCGATCTATGAGTTTGACTGTTCCTCTTGTATCTTTTGCCCCTCTTTTATAGATATGGGCCGTCACACGCGGTTTACTGGACACTTTTTTGAATATTTCTATTAAACAAATTACTGGAATTAGTTATGATGTGTTTTACGATATTGATTACCAAAAAATCTTGTATATGCATAAGAGTCGAAATAATGCATTTGAATACCAATAAAAGTTAAGTAAAAGTTTTCCAGTTGTTCTTATAAATTGTTGCTTTGATGAACATTATCATGCAATACATCATTTCAGTAGCTTTGAATCTTGATGAGAGATTGATGGATCAATCCTGCTATGTACTAGACTGACATGCTGGGCTAGTTTCAATGAGCTAGTTCACAGGGTAAAAGTCCACAGGCAGACATATCACGTAACCCAGACACATTATTCTGACGCCAAGCCAACCAGTCTTTAATCATATCCCTAAAGGCCGCATGCTTAACGGAGAAGCAGCATCTACCAAATTACAAGTCGTTGGCTTGACCTAGACGGGTTTGAACCCACTACCTCTTGCACTAGAGACTGCACGCTACAACGAGCATATCGAGGCAATAAATTTCGATGAGTGTTTTGTATTCTAGATTGCACGTCTTTTACACAACATGACGTTATACGATTATAATGAACAGACATGTAATATCGTGCGTGAAAAAATGTATCATGCGACCTATGGTATAACAGATTAGTTCATTTTTTTCCTTCAAGAGAACGACACATATTGTGTGAATAACATACATCTAACCTGCGTATTCCTTTGTATGTTATAGTTTGCTTTATTATTTACCAAAAGGTATGTAAATAATCGTGTATTAAAACAGTTGTTTTTATGGATAACAATGTTCATCCCTTTAATTTCAGGTGAATAGAGATGTAAATGTGGATGACGTACTGAAGAAATTTAGTAAGTGTAAATGATATGTATGCTTTTTAAGAATATTGTGTTAGACCAGTTTTGTCGAATTTGCAAATATTCACATTGTAACACATTAAGAATTCGGTAGCCATGTAAACAAAAAAAAGCAAAGACGATATTCCATTAACGAAACAATTTAAAAAGCAACATTACCACTGCAGTGTAATTCCTAAGCAATACAAATTCTAACAAAATCTAAAGTAAAATCAGAGGCTCCGATAAACCTAGTAAAACATTTAACTGAACACTGTCAGTACATCAAGGTGCACTTTTCTGATGGCAAATTGTTGTTTTTCCTCATCGGATTTAGAAACATAATGTTGTAACAATTTTCAGGGTCTTCAACTGGTTGGTTTGAATAGTACAAAGACAAATGTAAGGTGACATTATTGTAGATGACCAGCAGTTTATATCAGTTGGTAAATATACTTTCACAAAATGACACTGCAGTCACATGTATATTTTGTTTGTTTTATGCACCTACATATCTGACAACTCTTCGACCGACATTGTCAATCGAATACTTTTGGGTTGTACAAGGCTATTACCAAAAATAACGTATACTTCATCAGATGTAACCAAACAAATTAAGGATCTTGCACAATAACTCAAATGGCAAAATCAAAAATTCAAACGCATCAAACGAATGGACAACAACTGTCATATTCCTGACTTGGTACAGGCATTTTCTTAAGTAGAAAATGGTGGATTAAACCTGGTTTTATAGCTGGCTAAATCTCTCACTTGTATGACAGTCGCATAAGATTCCATTATATTGACAACGATGTGTGAACAAAACAAACAGACAAAATAGGTAAAACAGTCAAAATAGGGGTACAGCAGTCCACATTGTGCCATTATCCCAAACACTATAAATACAGACAGATATATAAACAAACATTTACCATGACATAATAACACAATGACGGGATGTATAAGTACAGTGCCACGTCACATGCAAGAAAGAAATTGAAAAGGCACACAGACAAAGCACACCAGTAAAAACGAAAGACAAGAATACAGAAATTATCATAGAACAAAGTGCACATGAAGTGGTGTGACAAGGGGTTTAATATCGAACATCATGTTTACAAGGCCTATGAGTGAATCATTTTTATGCATTTTTTGGTAATTAAATTCAATACAATATTGATTCGTCAACATTATATATCAAGAGAGGATGAATTTATGTTTCGGATAAACCCGTTTGGCATTTTAGGTCCTAAATGCTCTTCGACTACGTACTTTATTTGGAGTCGTTAACGTTTTTAATTTGAGCGTTACTTTTCAGTCTTATTTAGACGAAACGCTTGTCTGTAATACATAGTTGTAATTATGGTATCTATGATATAAAGCCGAGAAGTAATATTGCCCATTTGGCTTTTTTAACATTTTTTTATTCGGGCGTCACTGATGAGTATTTTGTAGACAAAATGCGCGTCTGGCGCAAATACAATATTTCAATCCTGGTATCTATGATGAATTTATTGCCCATTTCAGACTTTTACTGGTTTGTAGAGTAAATAATCAAGATAATAGTGATGAACTATAGGCATAATCATTTAAGTTAGGATTTCCGATACTTATGGGATTGTTTTGTTATTCAATGCTCCTCTGTTAGGTTAAAAATTACTATAACAGACAAAAATTCAAGACATTTTCACCGATGTAAAGAAAGGCAGCAGGTATGTAATGATCTGATTAAAAAACATAATCTATGTTTGAATTAGACCTTTTTTGTCTTTTTGGTATAATTTAGTTTAATGTAAATAAACTCATCATAGATACCAAGATTGAAATTTTGTATTTGCGCCAGACGCTCAGATCAACCTATTTGGCAGCATTTAAGGTTTAATAATCAGCCGTTCCCGGATTGATAACATAAAGTACTAGAATTTTTACATCATTTATGACTGTCATGCAAGCGAGAGGTTTATCTAGCTATAGAATCAGGTATAATCCACGATTTCTAAATGAGGAATGCCTGCCTGTACCATAAAATTGAGAACGGAAATGGAGAATATGTCAAAGAGACAACAACCCGACCAAAGAGCAGACAACAGCCGAAGGCCACCAATGGGTATTCAACGCAGCGAGAAAACCCCGCACCCGGAGGTGGTCCTCAGCTGGCCCCTAAATAAAATTGTGTATTAGTTCAGTGAAAATGGACGTCACACTAAACTCCAAAACATATAAATGAACTAAAATTAAAAAACATACAAGACTAACAAAGGCCAGAGGCTCCATGTCCTGCATATGAAAATTGTTTTTTATTCGTTTGATGTGTTTGAGCTTTTGATTTTGCCATTTGATAAGGGACTTTTCGTTTTGATTTTTTGGAAATGAAGTTATCATTAAGTATAACCTTACTTCCAGATATTCTAGAAGATCGAGCGAACACAGCACCTACGAACACTTCATTACAAGAATTGTCCAATCATATCGGAAATAGCAGCATGCAGCTAGGAGTAGAACTAGGATTACGGAGCGCTGAGATTGAAGAAATTCAACACGATCACAGCTGTAAACTGTTACATCAGAATAAAGAAATATTACGAATTTGGAGCCAAACAAAATTTCCTAAGCCAACAGTTAAAGAACTGATTAAAGCTTTACAACGTATTGGCAAAATCGATTGCCTGAGGGAAATATCGTTTTAAACAGTACTAGATGATAATAAAAACGATGAAAACTACTTTTTTAACTGTAGATTTTATTAGGAAACACAATTCGAGTCGATAAATTGTTCAAAATGTATTGCACGTGATCATGTTTTTTGCAGGCTGTGTATGATTTTTCAACATTGAAAAATGAAACTTCAGTCTCGTAAAACTTCATCTCATTCATTAATTCAAAATTGGCTTTGGACTAGCTTTTTCTAGAGCGGTACTTAATGCACTTTATTTTTGAAGTTTCTAGATTCAATACACCAATCTTTGGAATCATACTAGTATAGCAAATAGTTTTAATTGTAGGTCATTGAAAAAATTAGCCGTGTTTACCTCATGGTTTTGTTTTATTTGTGATTTGCTTTAATTTTCGTTTTATATGTTTGCTTATCGGGTCTTTCCACCTTTCCTTTTGATTTTGATATGATTATTTTTTTTCATTTCTTCATGAACTTTTTACTTTTTTTTTAATCTAACTTTTTTCCCTCAAAACATTTAAACAGTTGAAGAAACCGTTATGAAAGCACATGGTTTCTGTTAACTGTCCATTCAATTGAACACTTTTGCATTTACTTTAATTATTTTAATTCACATTCGTCATGGTAAGTATGATAGATTATTTTTAGTTTAAATTTTTTTCAGGTAGCATGTGATTTATATTTGTACATAATATTAATTTATACCGTATACAGAAAACGCAGATTAATAATCAATCATAAAAACCTGTAACAGATACACCAAATCACAGTAATTTATTCAAAATAGTTTGTTTTTTTTCAAGTGAATACAAATAAATATTATCTTTGATGGGAATGTGTATGAGATATTAAAACTGTAAATATAATAGGATTTGTCCGTGAGAGATACATGTACATGTATGTTAGTTTGATTGATTGATTGCTTTACGTCTCATCAATTTGTCTTTAAGAGATATTGACCAATTATACATACAGCTTTACATTTATTTTGTTTAGCTTTATGTTTGATCAAGGAAATCGAAAACTTTGCAGATTTAATTGTAGATTTTTCAAAAGCTGAAGAATGGCTTTCTTTCTTTTTTTCCATTAAAAAGCCACTTTTGTTTCTGAAATGTCGCTTTTGTTTTGCAACATCTCGACAAGATTTAGTTTACGTTGTAAATAAATAGTGAAACTCACACTTTTTGACCGAACACTTTTCCTAATGGGAATTTTCTCCCGTATACTGCTTTTTTTTCAAGTTATCGCTTCTCCTAAAAAAAACGAAAAAGATATTGATAATTTATTTTCTTCAAAATGGTATGACTTCCACAACATGATTTTTTTAATTTGGACCTAGAGCACTACAAACCAGTAAAAGTCTGAAATGGCCTATATCTGTACTCGACTGTAATGATTTTTACTCGACCAGTCTGAATTGGTCTGAATTTTACTTAATATTACTTGACCCAGTCTTAACCATACTCAAGATACTCGACTATACTGATTTGTACTTAACCCTTACATTTGCTTTTGAAAATAGTCTAAACTTTTACTCGACCAGTCAGAAACAGTCTTAACCTATTATCGACCTGTACTCGACCAATACTGGACCAGCTCTTCACCTATTTTTTTTTCAGTCTGAACAATACTCGACCTGTCTGACCCATACTCGACAAAATAACCTCTATTTTTATAATTTTAATTGTTAAAATAACTTTCTTTTTAACTAACATGACAACAGCCACAATAAATTAGATATATATATATATAAAATTAGATTTTAACATCCTTACATGATTCTCAGATTTATCAAACCGAGATGGATAAATTATCTAATTTTAACATGTTTAAAGTCTGAGTCTTGTTGAATAAAAATACTTTTTTTCACCTGAAAACAACAACTATATGCTCAGGGTAATAAAACCTTATAATGTAGATTTTTGTTTGGCATGCGTTTTTTTTTAAAACAAAACTTGATTTTCCTAAATTTCTAAATAAAAACTTCAAGTTTACATACAAAAGTCATATAACTATCTTTTTAATGAGTTAGCAACAGCCAACAAAATCACTGACATTGTTTAACCTTAATATATCATTAAAATATCTATTCATATTATAATTTTGGATATATATATATTTTAAAAAGGGAAAAAAAATAAAAGAAAGAAATAAAAGGTTTCTTCTGATTAGGGGTAAACTATAAAGTAATACATCCTGCTTGGGGCACACTGATTTAAAATATCACACCTGGCCAGAGAGTAATATATTTTCAATAACATCCATTGCAAATTACAACATCCTGTAAAACTTAAATCACAGGTCCTTTTGCATTCACTAGATAAGTAAACCACAAGTTTAAGAAAAATAGGGTTTTCATTTTACCTGTAAACACACCTGTTCTAAGGTAATTAAACCTCATTAAAGTGCTTCTTGTATGTTAAGTCTTTAATTTTGACAAAACATATTTAAATTTAATTAAAATAAATTTCTACTGCAACTTTGGAATACATTTCCTTTTTCAAAAGTTATCAAGGAATGCTTTGAAAGTTGATTTTTAATAATATATATTAAATTCTTGGTTTTACAAGATATACTATTTTATATATATTTTGATAAAAAAAAGAATAACATTTTAGATATTTGAATAATGGTTGAAAGTTCTAGTATTTTTGATGTACATAAAGCAATGTGAACATGATATCATGTAAATAAAAATTCATTTAACAAAAACTTAATTTATTTTTTTTAAATGTGATATACATTGTATATATATAACAGTTCGTAAATTGATGAAATACAATAGAAAGATACAAAAAACAGGTCTAGGTTGGCTAAGACTTGGTCGAGTATGGTTCAGACTAGGTCGAGTATGGTTCAGACTAGATCGAGTATGGTTCAGACTTGCTCCAGAATGGTTAAGACTATGTCGAGTATGGTTCAAACTCGTATAAAATGGTTTAGTATTGGTCGCGTAAAGGTCGATTACAAGTTATATAAATAATCGTGTCAAGTAACCAATCTTAGCGAAACCTACTAACATTATTGTCTATAGGATATTTTATTTCTTGTCCGTATCGAGTTTCTATAATGATTTTCCATGTATCGCTGTGTATACGTTATATGCAATTTTATATGCATTTAAATGTTTGTCTTCAATTACAGGTTTATTCTGTTGTTGCTTTGTTAATGCATGATTTGGTGATTCATATATATAGCATGTTTCGCTTATATATATTTACTTTAAATTATATATATTATCTTTAACTGTTAAAACCTGATTTGACCTTTTCTCGGTAGATTGTTCTGTGGTTGATTATAAACTTTTAGACATCTATTTTTTTGAAAGGATTTTTCCAACGTAAATGATCTGTGGTAATCAACTGGTCGTCTATGAATTTCTTTAATTTGATGATATTTCACCTGGTGTTTCGGATATCATTTAGGTCAAGTTCAACCAAGGCCGTTCATCCTCGTCAGGTGCCCTGGCCTAATTTATTTTTATCTACTATAACATTTGATTATAATTACTTTTTAATTGTTATCGATATGTTTCTATCGTGTAGCGTATCATATGCAGTTACATTTTGGGGGCACGACACCTGGTGAATCTGTTAAAACCTGATTATTTTTATGTCCTTTCTTATCTAATTATACTTTGATTATTTACAGTGGTTATAGTTTTGCTGTCGTTTTATATTGTATATTTTTCGTTTTTCTTTAATTTAGGTACTTTTGCGTTTCTTATCCCTAGCTTTGAACGATCTATTCTTTCTATTAGACATACTTGAAGGTTAAGTCTATCATGTACAATTTATTTTATATGGGTAATGGCGTGCGTTTGCTGACTCTGTTTGTGGTCATACGAATAAAAATTTCTCTATCGAGATTTTAGTAAAAACAGGTTTGAATTGATATGCTTGTGAAGATCAGATTCATTTTGACATTGAGTTGCTGATAATCTCTCATCTATAGTGAATTTCTTTAAAATATTAATCAATCTCCTTTTTTAGAAGTTTTTTTCTAATTGCGAAAAAAATCTTCTCAGAGATTGTCTAAAACCAATAACCTTGTCTATATGCAATCTGTAAGGCACTATTAACAAAAGAGAGGGGATAAGAAACATGCGGTAATGTGTTGTGTCGTGATTGGTTGTAAGGAAATAGGCGTCATTCGTAGAACGACCAAAGCTGGGGTTCGATTGGCTTATGTGTTAGCATCATATGTTGAACCGATGTACGTCATCAAGTATATGACTAGAGACTCCCATAATCAAATAATTTGTCTCATTCATATAATTAGAGAATATATTAATTAAAAACTTGTTGTGGTCCTTAACTTGCTTACTAAAGGCTAGTTTAGTTATGTTCATGTGGTATCAGCAAAGAAAGTGGCCAAGATGAGCAAATGTCTCAGCGTTGTCTTTGTAAATCAAAGGTTTCCGTTTCATTGTTTTAAAACAATGGATATTTCCCAGAAGGTTTCACAGATTCCCATTAAGGTTGCACCCTTCAGTGTAATTACATTTGATACGTTTTTATGATAGTTGTAAAGAACCGAATATGTGTATACGGATGTTGAACAACGTGTGAAGCAGATACTTCGAACATCCATTTTATAAATAATCGTGTCCATGAACCAATCGTAGCAAAACCTACTAACATTATTGTCTATATGATATTTTATTTCTTGTCCGTATCGCGTTTCTATAATAATTTTCCATGTATCGTTGTGTATACGTTATATGCAATTTTATATGCATTTAAATGTTTGTCTTCAATTACAGGTTTATTATGTTATTGCTTTTGTTAATGCATGATTTTGTGATTCATATATATAGCATGTTTCGATTATATATATTTACCTTAAATTATATATATTATCTTTAACTGTTAAAACCTGATTTGACCTTTTCTCGGTAGATTGTTCTGTGGTAAATTATAAACTTTTAGACATCTATTTATTTGAAAGGATTTTCCCAACGTTGTTATAATATTGTAACTATGATATTTATTTAGTTGGCCTAATTTGTTTTGTGTGGCCTATTATATACATTGTGTATAAAAAAATACACATTGTGTTACAACTATGCAGTTCAGAAATCACTGGAACAATCATTGATACTCA